TGACGATCAAGATACTTCATAAGATCCTCCTCGCCGACAAAGCAATCCTCGTCTCGCACGCCATTCTTCGTATTGCCGGGCTGGGTGTAGATGTGGAGATTAAATAGTCCGGTTGGACGCTTTGACATCCAGCCAACCTTCGCTTGTTCAGTTTAAAGGGCGCGGAAATCCATTTTCACTGCTTCTGGCAAATCTCAAATGAGGGAGAATCTGTGGACTGGATTTTGCAGCGAGCCCCAATTGCTTTTAGTCGCTCGAATTATATTTGGAAAAATTCAAGCTAACCCCGGCTTTAATTCACGAAGCTGGTTACCCCCCCCCCCCTTCGCACGTACGACTATTTTTAGCCACCCCACATGTTGTATATACAACATGTTAAAAATAGGCTAAATTAGATTTTTTATTGACCTCCGTAAGTACGAATACGTTTTCTGCACTGCGGGAAGATCAGACGCTCGGTGATACATTGATTGCGAGCTTCTTCGCAGCGCTATGTATCTACATGCTGTCTAAGACACCCACGCTGCGCCAACAAACCTGAAGAAGACGTATATCCAACATATTAGAAGTGTCCCTTTTACAGGGCTTGAACATGTCATGTACGAAGTGCAATGGCTATGTGTACAGTCATCAATGGTTGCAACACATTTATATTGAATCAGGTTAGGTATTCATCGACAAGCCCACACTTACTCGCTATCGTCCTCTCCAGCACATCCCTCCCCACCACCAATCTCTTCAGCGCCGCCATCAGTGTCGGAACCAGCGCCCCCCCCCCTCCACAGTACCGCTGCCAGCGCCTCCCTCCCCCGCACCGCCGCCTTCTTCGCTATCACTAGCGGCGCGTCGGCGCTTCTTTGCCGGGCTGCGCATCTGGATTCCACGACCAACACGAGGGTGAGGCCGCTCCTCTCCGTTCTTTCACAGGACATGCCAGATTTGGTGGCATGTAATGGTGTTGCCTGGGTAGTGGCCCGGCCGGACTCGATCACAGAGGTAGACACTGTGCATGAAGAAGCCCAATTAGTCAAAGTACGATTGCATAAGCCACTGTCACACTTGCTACTTGTTGACGTCGCTGCATGCCTCGCAATAGAACCGCGTTACACTGCGCTGGCCGATTTTCTGCTTGCGAATCGAGCAGACATTGCACTGGTGCTGTGGCCTCTTCCGAACACCTTCCCGGATCTGGGTCCACTCCGGAAACTCGGTCAATTTGTGGGCAGCCGATATCGAGGCCACATTTTCGTCGGAAGGTGCCGGTGAAAATGTTTGCAGAATAATAAACGAGTCAGATACGATACAACATCTACCACATGATCGCCGGCAAACATGTAGTATATACCTCAACAATGAAGTCAGCCGAAGTGACCTGCAAAAGCTGCGCCTGTAACTCTGCTAAAATCTCGGCATGATCAGCACCTTCACCAGCCATTTTCCGATCCTCACGGAAAATGATATAGACATTCACGAGTGCCATGTCGACTAGGCCTAAGAAGACCGTCTTGTAGTACTTTCGAAAGCGCACCGAGAGCTGCAGCGAATAGCGCTGTAGCCTTAGCTGGTCGTGGATATCAACCCCGACCATCCAGCGATGATAGTCGCGCATCGCTGATGGGCAGGGTATGATTTCCATTCTGCCGCCACATAGATGCCGCCCTTCGATGGTACAACAACAACAGCATAGTTAGGAAGCCGTCATCACTAAAACACGACCCAAACGTAACTTACCGCAGGTGTTAATAGATGTACTGCTGCCAGTCGAGAGAAGGTAGACAGGAAGGCGGTCCCACCAAAGCATTACCTGTAGAAGATCGCAGCCCTTCGCGACGGCGATCGTTCTGGTCCCGCGGGGAATATGAGTTGGACGAGCTGCTGCTTTGGTCACTAGGGCTGGCGGAAACCCTTTCTTGTTTGGCTGTATAGTGCCAACCGTGTATACATTCCGAGCCAGGGGTTACAAAGCTAGCTGGATCGACGTATAGAAGCGATCCGTCACCACAGCGTGGTAGACACCTTCTTCTAAGGCCGGAAGAACTACATGCAGATTACGGATAACCGCTGCAGGGCCCGAGTTCGGGTCTGCTGAAAATCGGGTCGCTGATTGACCTCCGAGCTCGTCTGAGTGCTGTTTAGTTCCACAAAATAATTTCAGACTTTGATGCAGCACAATACAACATTCCAAGGTAGACAAATACAACATGTGAGACTTAGCCAAAAAACAAAATACTCCACGATGGAGGCCGTCGAACTACGCACCGTAGACAATTCGCTGTGTCAGCACAGCATGTCATAAACCGTTTTGTGCCCCATTTGTGGGGCTTGGGCTTCATACCGGAATTAACGGTATTTTTGCAACCGATCAATTTTTTGTAACCAGTGGCCCGTAAAAAGTCTGCAGCACCAACAAAATTACTCAGTTTGGCATCAAAACAGTGTCCCAGTTAAAGCGCGCTATTGCTTACAATATTGTGAGAAAAGCGACGGTTTCAAATGGACAGGAGTATCTTGTGCGAGATTTTACGCCTTCCGCCGTTCTTACGGTTTTGACTTGAAATGTACTTTTTACACGGTTGCAGAAAACACGTAAATTCCAATAAATTGACTGGTCACGTTGTGACGACTTCTTGACGGAATCATGGCCTCGTCGAACGACACGACGGGAGTAACGTTATATCCCCTTGCAAACGTCTGCTGTAGCGTGTCCACTACGGAGCAGACTTTCCAGGCGCGGTCCGTTTCAGCTCTCAGGCCCGTGTTGTCGGTAAATGCAGGTTTTGCATGATGCGCTCAAAGCGCGACTATCCCACAAAGTCGCCAAATGTGCCTTTTGGTACCCGGGTCGCTCCCCAGTGATCCGCAAAACGGCGCTTGTGAGGGACCAACATCCTCGCGATAAGGAGCTCGATACAATGTACAATGTCCTTTGGCTTTATGTCCTTGTGTTTTTCGGTCTCTCGCAACATCACAGCTTCCCTAGTCAACTCTGCATCATCGGCCACTCGCTTCGCATGTATTCTGTCGACCCGTCCGTTGAGATGCTGATGATAGTATCGATTACTCTCAGTAGCTATCCGGCGCCAAAGCCGACGAGGCATGAAGAAGAAGAAGAGTTGTAACGGGGACTCAGCTACTTCAATCGCTGCCTCCGTTGGTCCATTGTCACCACTGTATAGACTCGGGTATGGTTCTACTCGTTCTGGGTGCGATGCGGTATCTAAACATCATACAACATATACCACATTAGTTGCATGTTGTATATACATCATCTCACAAACCTTAGCAAACTCCCAGCCGTCCACTCGCATCTTCTTCAGAGCTTCATTATCCTGCGCGAGCGCTTGCATCTCGTCTTATGTCAGCGTGTTCCTATTGTTTGAGGTTGTGTTTCAGTCACGTCGCAGCTTGCCGATACCTGCCTGCAGACGTCGCTTCTCCAGCTCTCTTTGGACTTTCCTCTTGTCCCGATTAAGGAGTGCTGCACCGTCCAAACTACCATCACTATCACTTGAAAGAATTTAATCTGCATCTTCGCTGAGCAGGTCGTTGTCAGAATCTGATCCTCTCTGGGCATCGTCCATGTGCTTTACAGACAAGTCAATATACCAGTCATCTGAATCTTCGCCTTCGCCATCCAAGTCCGAGTTGAAAGCTTCATTATCATAATCTTTAACAGATGCATTCATAGCTGGAGCGGAAGACGTGAGTGAATCAGTCGTATCCATATTCAAAACCCTGTCCCAAAGTAGTTCACATCACGCGTCAATATACATCTTCTATACGTTCACACAGGCAGTATATATATCATCGCAGAGCTACCTGGCCGTTTGATGTCTGGTTGGATGGCTTCGACTGGTATTGGTGGTGATCTGAAACAACATAACATCAGATACAACATGAATACAATTAGTGAATGTAGTATATTCAGCATGTCGAGAATCACGTACTTTGATGCAGACAGCATAGTCTCGTCGTCTGCATCTGAATCCTCAACTAGTTCAGCAAGGTGCGGACTGGCGGTTTTCTTCTGCCTCTTCGCTGCAGGAGACTTTGACGATTCCTTCCTCCTTGCTGCTGCTAGTGCTTTCAGCACTGCTTGGCGCGCTTTAGCCCGCTGCGTTTTTCGTCGACCACGTGCACACGTTCCCTTTCTTTCTCGGCATCACGTCGTGCGGATATAGACTCCACACGGGCTACAGCTTCCATTTCTTTGAGCGCGTTCCTTTCCTTCGCCAAAGCTTCGCGCTGGGCCTTGGTCATCTTCTTCTTCCCCTTTCCAGGTATTTTTCTTCGCTTTGGCCTTAATTGCAATACGCGCTGCCCGCAGCTTCTTTGTCGTTGCAATGTACGACGCCGTCTTTCCAACAGGTGGTCGGCTCGGAAGCGCCGGAATGGATCGTCCACGAGTCATAGCCGTCGTCGTCTGCCTTACCTTCGTCGTTGGCGCGGCCACCGTAGTCGTCTGCGTTGCCCCCGCGGCCTCGTTCCCGAAGTCAGCATCCGTCTCCCTCTCTCCGTTCAGGTATGCTGTGTGTTGGGCAGTCAAGCGCACCCGATCCTCCGAGCTTTTGCCTTCCAGGCGGGCGAGGAAGGCTTCTGACTCGCGACGCGTTTTGCGTCGGCCATCTCTGGTCCCCGTTGCTTTTACTCGAATTTATGAAATCGGTGGGTTACACGAGGCGAGGGTGAGCAACCTTTGTGACAAATCTGAGGAGTTTTGCGTGCGTGTTCTGTGCATTTTTCAGCCTAACCCTGTGCATTTCAGTGTCTTTAACATGTTGTAAATACAATATGTGGAAAAAAAAGGACATGGCGCACCTTTTGGTCACATGCCGTCAGCGGGGGGGGTTAAGGAATTGTACTCTAACCTTCTCCTTAGTTGACTTGAAAATTGTAAATTTTTATACTGAATTTATGTCCAAGCTTCACCTGCCAGGCCATATGTTCAAATTCTGTCAGACTACCGTAGGAGCTTGCCGACCTTACGCGACTGGTTTTGCTCACAGCTTCCAGCGCGGCTGGATCTGTTCCTCCTCCAGACGAGACTCGTCCGTGTTGCAATAAGTAAAGTAAAGCGCCACCTGCGCGGCGCTGCGCACTGAGCCGATGGTGTTAGGTGTGAGCACAAAGTAGTCGCCGTCGACGAGGCCGAAGGCCACCCAGAGCAGCCCGTTCAACAGATTTACGGAACACAGTGAAATGGGTAGCGACGCCGCCGACTTGGTCTGTACCACGCGCTTCATGGTGTCCAGCGGTGACGCGTAGAGACAGATATTGACGGAGATGCACAATAGACCAAGTGTAGTGATCACCTGTTCACGAGACTGGTTGGTGAACTCGTTCGCGCCAAGGATCACGTACGACATGCATAGCGCCATAACGGAGCCAGCCTTGGCAACGAGCCGACGCACCGCCGGCCGATCCGGACTCCAACGATAGTAGATGGCGATGAAGCCCGCGCATGTGCACTGGCCCAAGGAGCAAGTGGCGAAGAGTGGGAAGAGCTGCCCTATCATGAAGCCGTACATGGTCCACAGGAACGAGTTGCAGTAGAGCATGACGACGGGCAGCACAGTCAGCGGACCGGGTGTGCGTTGACGATTGATGCGCGCGAACTCTGGCCACGGCGACACGTTGAGCAGCACCGACGAGCAGGTGGTGAGCACACGCAAAGACTCGAGCAGGATCGTCATGATTGGCTTTGAGTTGTTGCTTTTGTTGCGGTGAGATCGAAAGTGAGCAAAGCGAGCCGTCGACGTCCAGACGAGGCCGATGCGATGGCTCACTTTGTTTAACAAAGACGGGCTACTACATAGTACTTCACATACAAACCTTGAGTGCTCCTGCTCCTTCTTGCTGCTATCGGTAGAACAAGTGTTGCAGTTCTTTTTTGAAGGAACAATTATCCAAGAACAAGTTTAAATTGTCACGCGACGGATACCTTTTCCACTAGTCGCCACTCGGTCACATGGCCGTCGTAACGGATATGAAACTGATTCATTTTCTCCAAGCACCATGAAGATGTTGAGAATGATCATCGCAAGATTGATCCGCTTCGCTTGTCGTCGAAGTTGCTGCCGTGGCTGCAGTTTCAACCGCTTCCACTCAACTATGGCGACCAGTGCAGCACCAGGCTATACAACTAAAATGTCATAATATTTGTGACTAACGGTAGGCTATCATTTAAATTTAATTCACAAAACGCCCTCGCTTTAGAAAACAAAACAGTGCTTTACAAACAACTTTTATTAGGTAATATCTACTGTAGGCTGCTCGCTTAGGAAGCAAGGCTATCGACATGGGCGAACTCAGTCCCTCGTACTCGACATTTTTGTCCACGTGGATGGCAATGTCACGCTCGATTGGGTGGTTTTCTTTGACGGCATCGACCGAGCTCTTCGGTACATCAATGCGTCCTGGACGGTATATGATGTAGAGCACAACTTGGATGGAGCACAGGAACGTCCCGATGGCGTTTGGCACCAGCACGAACATGTCGCTCACTGCCACGGCGAAGACGACCCACAGCACGGCGTTCAGGAGAAAAGTAGCGCTAATGGAAATGGGCAAGGACGACGCGTTCTTGGTCTGTACGACCGTCTTCATTGTTTCCAGAGGGGAAGCATACAGCACCAGGTCGAACGCGATGGCGATGAAGCCGAGGGTTTTCTCCACTGCTGCCTCTGACTGGTTCGTGACATCATTCGTTGCGAGGATATAGTAAAGCGTTCCAACGGCCAGTAGTGTCAAAGCGATACCGCAGACCTTGACGACATACAGACGGTCCTTCGTCCAGCGGTAGTAGATACAAATGAAGACGGTGGACGTTGCGATACCAAACAGCGTCACGGCGAAGAGTGGGAAAATGTTGTTCACCAGATACGCATACAGGACCCACATGTAGCAGTTGGCTAAGAGAGTGACGACCGGAAGGATTGAGACTTCGCCGGTTGCGCGGTTCTTGTGAATGTGCCAGAAATCAGGAAGCGGGGCAATACTCACAAGAATGGCGGTGGCGGTGGTGAGTACACGAAGTATCAGAACGAATGTCGACATGGTTCCTATAGGATACTCCTTACGACTGCAAGTGGAAGCGGGTGCGTTTGTGAGTGAGTTGATGCCGGACACTGTCAAAGGACGGAATCGTAAAGGTCTCGCACGCTTTGGGTTGCGCTCCAGTCATTTGATCGTCGGTAGGCCACGCTGGATCCGGCTTCAGTTGCCAGCGGGAAGCGCGTACCGCTGGGAGCATCGTTTCGGTCACGTGGCCCGACAAGGCGATGAGTGCCGGCTTCAACTCTACACTGTTTTATGTGCTGAGCGCTCCAAGTCACTCGCTGAATGAGGAAAGCTTGGCTGGAAAGCGTCGACAATTACCTCGACTAAACGATTAATGCGATGGCGTACGCATATTCCGTTTGCTTGCAACGGAAGGACTGGGCGCAGTTCAGTTGAACGATAAAACCAGCTCATAACCCAAAGCACGCGAGTGGCTCAGACAGTCGACGACGTGGCGTACATGTCGTTTCCCTGCACGATTTTAAATTAATCTCTAATATCGTCCCGTTTTCCAGGATCACGAGAGTGTGGGGTGGTAATGTAGTACATGTAGATTGGATCGATATCGGGTATGGAGTGGTGGAAGAAAAAGAAGAACTGAGCTCGACTGTTCTCTCAGCCTCCCTCTAAGCAAATTATAAAGCCTACCATGCTGGTGGGCACTCTCGCGATCCGAAAAAGGTGCCTCCTCTTGCTGACCGCAACGTCTCCAACATCTTGTCCGAGGAAGCTGGTCACCATCCAGCGCATGAAATCCACCGGCTCATCCTTCAGTGACCCAGTTCTGCGTGGTTGAAGTACGTGTTGAGCACGAAAGACAAGTAGTACACATTGCAAGAGGAGCCAACTCAATCCTTTCAATACTGCGTGCCTGTTTAAGATAGAGAGCATTGCGCTATCCGTGCATCCCTACCAACGCTTATCTCGGAAGGGGGGCCACTGGGGACCTGAGCAGCTCGTAGCCAAGCGGGTTCTTAAGCCAGCGAACCAAGTGGTCCCAGAGTCCTTGAGGACCCTCCAGCAGCTTGCTCTTGTTAAAGCTGGTAGCTCCATCCGTAGCCTCGCCACCGGTTGGACGATACTTAACGTAGAGCGCCACTTGAGCCGCACAGAGGATCATACCGAGCATGTTAGGCACCATGACGAACACGTCACCAGCAGCGAGAGCGTAGACTACCCACAACGCTGCATTCCCCAGGAAGACGACACTGATGGTGATAGGCAATGAGGACGCATCCTTGGTCTCAATCACCTTCTTCATACCAGCTAGCGGTGACGCATACAGCGCGATATTGATGGCCACAGCGATGAATCCGAAAGATGAAGCCACTTGATCGTGTGTTTGGTTGGTCACTCCACAGCTCCCGAGGATCAGGTAGAACGTACCAGCTGCCAAAACATACGCCGCATGACTCCAGATCTTGTGAACGGAGGCGCGATCAGCGCTCCAGCGGTAGTAGATCGAGCTGAAGACGATGGACGTGGTCATGCCATAGACGTTACAAGCCACTACAGGGAAAATGTTGTTCGTCCAGCAGCCATAGATGGCCCACATGACGCAGTTGCAGAATAGCAGAGTGATCGGTAGAATTGAAACCTCACCAGTCGTCTGTGTCTTGTGAATACGATAAAAGTCCGGCAGCGGCGACAGACCCACTAGGAGAGCAGCGACGGTCGTGAGCACCCGGAGCATACCGAGGATAGCTGCCATTTTTTCTCTAGTGAAGACGAGAGTCAATTTGCTGACAACGTCAAGCCGAAAACGACGTGCTTGATTACCAGCAAAACTGGAAATGGTCGGCATGGGTGGCACGCCTCAAATTGAGACGAAGGTGGAAATTGGCGTTGGCTCAGACACCGAAGAAAAAGGTTTATTTTTACGCAAAACTACGCAGAACGAATTCTTGAATCCGCTGCATGCCTACGACTTAAAAAAAAATTCTTAACCAACGACGGGAAAGATAATCAGGATGCTGAGAACGGGAGACCCCACTTGATATCGAATACAGCAGTAATTGCGTAGCGCGAAATATTCAGGCATTCTGGATGTAATTAACTTTGAAGTTAATAAAATTTATTAACATTTAATGTCGGATAGATCACCGATGCAGTCTTCGACCTTTTGTTTCTTTTATATTAATAAAGAGATTTTTACTGAGCTCCAAAACTAAGAGCTACATGCACTCTACTTCTAAAACATTTTTTTTTAAATTAGCACAGATTATACAAGGGCTCGAAGTTCTAAAGCTTCGTCTACTTTTTAACTTATTGATTTAGAAACAGTCTCCTATGTCTAGTTTTAATAAACTAAATTTCAAAGCGAGACATTTCGAAAAGGGTTGTCAGGCAGCAAGAAATTGGCTTTGCTGAAAGTCCCATAAACCTCTTTGGGATCGTAAAGTGACGATCAGACATAACCTATCCGAGTCGGGTTCCGACTGCCATCTGCAGAGATCTCACGCTCAAACTTCTCATTCCCTAATCGCCAGCAAGCTCTCTAAAGCTTTTTTACTGATACTGATAAATCAGTTTGACCTGACCTTCGATCATGCGTACAGGACTGCGCCATTTCCTGGTGACAATCGCCGTCATTGCAAGTTTCTTAACTGCACAAATGCTAGAGGCCGTCCATCAGTCTCTCCACTTTATCAAGGTGGCAGCACCCTCCACCGTCTCGATTCTGCACCGGAGCACTGAATTTCAGTGAGGAGAGAGCGGCAGTTCGTAGCACTTTCAGTTGGTTCAAATCTCTCTTTCACAAAGATCCAAGCAAGGCAACAAATGCGAAGCTCTGTAGTCGACGTGCACACCGCGCTCTTACCAAGTTGAAATCAATCATGGGTTTCACTGGTAATGGCCGTTCCAAGATCACGCCGGAGAAGCTGAAATCGCTGGAGACGTATGCTCGAGGAAACCTGGACAAATGGTACACTATGTCGTACTATTTGCAGTACGTTGAAGAAATGGTTGCTGCGGCAACTGTGGGAGGTGTTCTATGCCTCGCATTTCGGCACGCCGGAGCTTGTCAATGATTTGAGCATATCTGGTCCTCAAATTGGAGACGAGGTAATTTAGGCAAAGTGAAAACCTCTCGAAAAAGTCGATTTGTGAAATAGTCTAAGCTGTTTGAGGTATTTGAGGTGTTGCGACGGCTCGGCACGACTTGGAGCGTGCAAACTCGATGGCTACAGCTTCGGCGCAGGTAGTGACAGCAAGCACCATTTCACTCCTGGCTCGATTCAAAGGCTCAATCTTGACAACATCTTCGGTCGTCTCGGATGAGGCTTTTACCTGAGCTACCACCTTCACTAGTCCAGACTCGTGCTTCTTTGGTAAATACATGACCGCCAAACTCACTTGGACGATGCACATGACCACACCCAGAGAATTTGGGGTGAGGACAAACATGTCGTTGCTGAGGATCGCGTACATACACCACAGCGTTCCGTTGAACAAGTTGACAACGCACATGGTGATCGGTAGCGAAGCAGACGACTTGGTGGTTATCACGAGCTTCATGGTCTGCAGGGGGGCAGCGTAGAGGCAAATATTGATAGAAACAGCACAGTAGCCGATAATTTCTTGGAGTTGAGCAGTCGACACAGGGACGACTCCAGTCATTGCGAGCACTGTGAAAAGTATAACTGTGCAAAGTCCGAGACCGGTACACCCTGCCATCTTGTTTAGTGTGGTCCGATGGGCTGACCAACGATAGAAAATCGCAGAGAAGGTGACTGTTGTAACGATGCCGAATATGTTGATGGACATGACGGGAAAGTAGTTGCCGCTGCTGAGGCCATAGAGAGCCCACAACACGCAGTTGCAGCACAGCATCACCACTGGAAGAATGCGAACCTCGCCGGTGCTCTTTTGTGTGTGAATGCGTCGGAAATCTGGATACGGCGACAAACAGAGAGCCACGGACGTGATCGTCGCTACGACGTTGACTATGGAGAGAGCGAGCATATCGTTGTCCAGAGAGGGGGGGGGGTCTGTACTTGTTGTGTAGAGGTGAAGTGTGGCCGTGACGGTGGCAGACAAACACTAGCTGTGTTCTTCAGTCCTGGTAGTGTGTTGAGGAATGTCTGAATCACCTCCCCTGATGCCTATTTGTTGCACGATTCACGGCATTCTCAACAGCGAATCTTATCGGTTTTTTATAACGATATGCCTGGACAATCGCACTCTCGGCCTTCCTGCAAATAGAAAAACTTCGATTACAAGGGACTGAACGCAAATAAAACCCCCATAAATCGTCGAGGCCATCACACGTACACGTACGCAAAGCGATCATCCTATCAACGCAGCAACGACAAGGCCATGGACGTGATTTTGTGGCCATGACGAACGTTATCGGAATTACTTCCATCTCGATGCTTGCAAGGGCCTTAATTACACTGCACTTCAGCTTGTACCGTTTAAGTGGTACCATTTGGTTGACCCTGCGTTTTGATGACGGCTGGAGTCAAACTTTGACAGGCTCCACTGTGGCGCCGTTCCCATCGTTGGCAGTGACGCTGGCCTTTAATTTGCTGCGTGTCCTGGCCACGTGCTCCTCTGTGGCGCTCTACGTGTCTCCATGGCCGGAGTTCCGCCGCATCCAGCGCCGGCGCTCGCCTGGAAACGTGTCGCTGCTGCCTGTGGTCATGCTCTTTTGCAACGCCTTCATGTGGTGTGTCTACGGCTGCGTGGCCGACAGCATCTTTCCCCTGGTCGTGGTCAACGCTTTCGGCGTCTGCACCAGTCTCATTTTCTCCGCCATTTACGTGCGCTGGGGCTCCACAGAGCAGCAAATCTACGCGCGCCGACTCTGGGTCGGTGCTGGCACGGCCATGCTGCTGGTCACCAGCTACGCCGTCCTCGGGGTGTGCGGTGCCATCTACCAGCACCCGGATGAGGTCGTAGCCACGCTCGGCTCTGTGTGCGTCATTTGCAACATCTTCCTGTTCGCGTCGCCTTTGGAGACCTTGGGCAAGGTTATCCGCACCAAGTCGGCGGCGTCGCTGCCCATCGAGCTGTGCGTAGCCAACCTCGTAGCTGGCGCACTCTGGTCTGCGTTGGCCATCGGCCAGAACGATATGTTCGTTCTCACGCCCAACGCGCTAGGCACGATGCTGGGCGCTCTTCAGGTGGCTCTGTACCTCGTATACCCGCCGCGATTCCAGGCGGTGCTACGCCCGGAGCGCTCTCGGCCGCTGCCGATCATCACGTCTACTTCAAAGCCGGACGAGTTGAGTATCAAGGTCGCAGTACAAGGACCCGTGTTCTGCCGGAACCGAGTTCCCTGACTTCGCTTGTGGCGCCGTCACACAGAGGAGTCGTAATTTCGTTGTTGCCCGGTAGTTACGGATCGCAGAGCGTGGAGGTGGCTGCTGGGTATGGAAGACCGTGCAGTTTAAGCTCTGAGTGTGCTTAGGCGTGGGAGCAAGCTTTGAGTCGTGTATTGAATTTTTCTGCTTCATTTCGCCGGTGTGCGTTCATGCCTGACACGTAGCTTAGGTTGTACACGCTCGTGCGGGGCACTACATGTACATGAAGTTATTGGCCGCCGTCGAGTCAACTCTCAAGTTCAAGTGATATTACGTACATGCTTGGCCACGTCAACATAGAGGTGAACATCACCATTCGGTACCGTACAAGCTTTTAATACTGACTGTCTTGAACGGGCACCGCTACGTCGACAAGCAAGAGAACCGTTCAGCGCCATTACTTCCCTCAACGCATCAAAAATAGCCCAACCAACTCGAAGCCGTTTCCTTCGTCGCGGATCCGAATAGTTCACTTAAAGGAGGCTCAGCCTGAGGGCTGCAGAGTCATCTTCACTTCGAGGACCTGTGCCTGCACGAGCTTCGCGCTGTCGCGACTCAACTTCAAGCGATACGCTGTGTATTACAAAGGCACTGCGACTGTCCTCATCTGCCTCGAGAACGTCCCCGAGGCCAACGTCACCCACGCGCCAAAGTTTGCCGACAGCAGCTCCAAGCCAAATATCCCAAAGCCACTGGAGATGCGAGGCTCGCGTCAGACGTCAGCACGTGCCACCGTGCTGTTAATATCCAGTCTCCAGCCAGGACGACCGGGAAGCAGCAACGCCGAGCGCGACATCTTACTCGCGCTAAGGTAACGCTCTGCCAAGTCGCGGCAGTCCAGCGTATCGACCGGCAATGTAAACGAAAAGTGTCGCCAGAGAGGATGAGCGTGCAAGCGAAACGAATGGCCCTGGGTCCAGCTTGATACACCGCTTCGCTGTGGTTGCCTGTCTGCACTATAGCCGATCACCTGAACCAGGTGATCTACGCGGACGGAGCCTCATTTTTCATCCTCCCCCCTGACTCCGAGATGCTTGCGCTTAACATCGTCAACGCCGCGGGCACCGTGACGACCATTATCCTGCTCTTCTCGTCCTTCCCGGATTTCCGACGAATCCACTCGGAGAAACGCACAGGTGAAGTACGCGTACTGCCCGTGCTCATGCTGGGCGTCAACTGCTTCACCTGGTCCGTGTACGGCTACCTGAGTGAAACCTACTTCCCCGTCATGTCCCTCAACGCCTTCGGGGCGCTCACGTCGCTGGCGTTCTCGCTCGTCTTCTACCGCTGGAGCGCCGACCGTCCCACTCTTCACAAAATGGGTGCCGTCACAGGTTCTTGGGTCATGCTGGGGCTGCTCTTCGCGGTGCTCTGCAAGACGGACGTCATCCACCTCTCGTCCAGCGTCCAGGAAAAGATCACGGGCTACATTGCTGTGGTCATCAATATCGCCCTCTACGCGTCGCCCTTGCAGACGATGAAGCTCGTGCTACAGACCAAGTCGGCGGCTTCTCTTCCAGCCACCATGTGCTGTGTGAACCTCGTCAACGGGTCCATCTGGGTGCTCAACGGTATCTTGGCCGACGACATGTTCGTACTCACTCCCAACGCTTTAGGCGTAGTGCTCAGCGTCATCCAAGTGGCTCTGATCATCAAATTTCGACACTCTGGACGCGTCATTGAAGCGCACGACGTCGTCGTCATGGAAGCAAAGTGCGATGCTGTGGCTCTGTCACCTGTCGTGGATATCCCTGTCAAGCCTCCCGTCTATGAAGCTGTTCAGTCTCCGGTTTGAATTAAGGAGTGCTCACCATGCCCTTACCGATGCCTCCCTCAGAACTGCGTTCGATCGTCTACGACCGACATACAACGCACGAGACCCCGTGTTTAAAATCTGGTGTCAACAGCGGAACGCCACACGACACGGTGCCGACCATGACACACAATCTCGAAGAAAACAGATAAATAGAGATTGATTCTTTCCTTTCCACGCCTACTTCTTTTCCTAGAACGGCTTATGAGGGTTAGTGAACGACGTCACAAGCTGCGCGCGTCTGTGACCAGTTTCTGGGTCACGAGAGTTGACTTGACCTCGCAGCATCCACCGTTTGAACACTAAACAATTGTGAATCAAACACAGATTATCTGAACTGAAGCAAGCCATCGCGGAACTACATTTGTACAACACCTGCCCCACGTCCACAGCTTGTGGCGTGAAGAGAATGGTCAGCGTAAATAGAAGCGCGTCGTACGTGTGTCGTCGCACAGTGAGCGACTGGATGACACGGCGGAGCTGCTACAGGTACAAACACGTATAAGCTTATAATAAAGAGGATGCTGAAAACAGCAAAAGAGTCTCACCATGTGGCGAATGGCCTTAGAGCTTGCAAGATCCAAGAGCAGATTCGACACTTTTCCAGCTGCCACACGCATCAACCAGGACGCCAGAAGCGGTACACTCCAACCAACGATGAACGAGCTCTTCTTTCCAATATCACAGTAAGAGATTGTTCGTACCGTGTCTCAGCTTTGACGAGTGGGGAAATGAAGCTTAGCGCTATGACGAATGAGCACTTCCATGACCTCCAGATGTGCGGGCATTTTCGCTGCGACGAAAAACGGAAAGGACTGCCGAATACTTAATGTACTCATCATTAGTAAGCAGTCAATATCATGACACATGATTACTTCGTTACGTACGTTATCGTCACGTAGGAAGCTGAAACTGTTTTCGCAGTTTTGAAGAACATCCATCTTCATGGAAGGGTGGTTGAGCACAGCTGTCAATGTCAGGAGTACCAGCATCTCGAGAATCTCTGGACGGCCACGAGCACATGCAACTTGAATTGCATTTTCACCCTTGGCATTGGTCCAGTCCATCGGAGTGCCACGCTGCAGTAGAAACAGAGCACATGATGAAGCATTGTATCCGGTCGCGATGTTTTAAAGACGCCCTCCTAGCTGTAGACTCAAACAAGGGCAGGAGCGTCGGGTTAATGGTTGGGTAAAGCACATTTAATCAGCCTCAGTTCGTGCACCTCTGCGCCGTCTACATTGGACATTTTATCGTGTACACGATCGTAGAGCGTCTTCAGGTTCTCCGCATATTCGTGGCGAACTGCCATCACGAGCGTCAGCATCCAGATCAACAGACAGCACACGTGTGTTAGTTTCGAGTCCTGCATACACCATAACTCTTTTCTATAATTGTGGAAGGAGATTGAGCAATACTCCGACAGATTTCACCAAACCGGGGCAATTTTTGGCCAGCACGTTGATGATGTCCACGAATCCATGCTCCCCGGCGATGTCCATGGCGCTTCGGCCGTTGGTGTCTAACGCGTTGGCATCTGCACCATGGGCGAGCAGCTTCTCTACGTGCTTGGTGAGGCCGTACTCGACGGCGTTGAGTAGAGCTGTATCTCCGCACTGGAAGACCATCGCACATGATAGTAGGGTGTCAAAAGGAGAAGAGGGTGTGTACGTTAATTACGGAGGTTGCACCTCGTCTGGCTGGTCCACACAAGCGTCTTATTTCAGTAGCATATCCAGCACGCTTGTGTCAATGCCTCGGTCCGCAGATCGATTGCGCACTTGTTGGCGCTTGGAGATGGCCATCTGAAGGGAAACAGTACATGTAACGATTGAGACTTCAAAGATAAGTTAGCCGAAGTGATCAAGCCTACCGCTACAAGCGACTGAACGTCAATGCAACGCGAACACAGCAGCACCCTGGGTCTAATTTTCTGTATACAGATTCGCATGACATCGATCTGCAGTGCTGTTATGCCCGTCTAGGTATTTTTGAAAAGTGCAGAAGAAGTTAGGAACTTGAAATGGTGAAATAAATTTGGTGCTGGGCATCTCTCGATATTTATCAATAGGAGACTACGCAAAACAAAATGATACTTTCGAACCATATAGAGTTATCGAGATGACTATTGATTTTCGCACTTAACCTGAACTGAGACATTTGGCTTAGATTTCCTGCGAAAAAACGTACTTATTCAGTTGCTTTTAACAAGGGCCTTAAAAAAACACTTGAATGTTAAAAAATTGAAAAAATATTGAGCTCACAACACTCCAAACTGTATCGTCATTTCGAGGGCCCGTAAATGGAGATAAATTTTTTGAATGACCACAACTTATCAGGATGATACATTATTAGGATGATACAACGAACGAGCAATTTATCAGAGACCATGCAAAACAGACACACACGCATTGATTGGTCTAAAATAAATAACAGTGGTAAGTTGAAAATCTTTAAGGTTTAAGCCTTATAAAAAAATAGTTTAGGGATCAAAGATGACTTCTCGACAAGATGTAAGGTGACTTCTCGACAAGACAATTTAAAACGATCTCGCGATGAGTTCCTTGCAGCAGAAATCCCACCAGCTCGATTTCAAAGCATGATTCGGCTATGCTGAGCCTGAAAAATATTTACACTTTGCGGACTTGGAGACGGCGGGCTCATTTGTCAAGTACTACGCGTTTAACAGTAATAAAAGTGCTGAATGGAAGAAGGGAGGTGGCGGAACTCATATCAAGTGGTTGTGTTCCGAGCATTAAACTGGTTGCATTGCTTTGTTGCGCAAACGACCATCAAAAAGTACAGAAACAGTGATCAAGAAACAGCGTAAGCCGCCAACAACAAACATTCGCATGCTCCAATTGGATCGTGGTAAATTCCAAAATGAAGATAAACCACGATCAACTCTGTCCCGGTGTGGCGGTATTGACAACCAAATTTTTATTAGAGCATCCAGGCTTTCGTGGAGAAATTCTAGATGGACACAGTACACCACTGGCACGGGTAGTGAACAACATGAGTGGAATTCATGGTATTGACATTTCGAAGTAGCCCGCGATGGCTTATCGTACTATTGACAAGCTAAAAACAACGTCAGAATTGATCCTGTAGCTGAGTATGGTCACTTTCCTTTTTTTTTAGCGACTTCGCCAGTAAACACCCTGGTTCCCGGGTATGTTGTCAGCTGGACTCACAAGGTAGATTTTATCGGGCTTTCCTCGCTAACCGCCAGTTTTGTGAGCATTCCGGACACATTGCTACCTGTTTTTGAGTGCGACGGTGCGCATATGAAAAACCCGTTATACAATGACATTTGCTTGATTATCATTGGTAAAGACGGTAACAAACAACACATCCCGATTGCAGTAGCCTACATTAACATATAGACCGTCGACAATTTGGCATGTTTTGTTTTGCAACTGCGTTGTCGCTGACATGAATATGCACATCTGTCCTTCCTTTTGCGACTGAGGTAAACAATTATCTGCTCAAGCGCTATTGCTACGCCTCGGTATAAAAGATCTGAAATTCTGTACAGTGCACATTAGATTTAACATGATGGACAAGTTCAAGTCTCTGAAGTTAAACTTACAGCCCGTAAAGAATGATATTTTGGCGCTTCAAGGTGCTTCGACGTCTGAAGGATATGATCACATCAAAACAAGAATTGCGGTGAAGTACTTTAAAGGAATTTCAAAAATTGTTGCAGATGAAGTCGTTGATGAACATCTCTGGAGTTACCTTTGTGGTATACATCCCATAGATTGGTGTGTCGTCGGAAATATGAGAACAACACTTGAAGAAACCAAATGGCTTACGGAGAACTGGTCTGCTGTCCCCAAACATGGTGACAGGCTGCCGTTGTTTGGTATTCGCACCACTAGCGCGAGTGAAGGAGAGAACAACGGTCTCTTGTGGGGTCGAGTGCGAAATCAACTTATGCTAGGATCGTTAATGTATTACTGTACACGAGCTCTCAAAGTTATTTTTGAAGCGTAAAGAGCTTGTCAATAGCCGGAAGGCTGTAAATTGTGACGTCACTCCTCACGTTTTTAAAGGAGTTCAATCAGGAAAAGGTTCTGGTTGCTCACCAGACCGTTGTGTTGCAGGGAGAACAATCAATTTTCTACGTCTTCGATGCTTTCGATAGCCGCAGTGTTGGTGGAGACGCTCATCTCTATGAACTCAACATTGACAACGGAACATGCACGCGTTGTACTGTTTCAGAGCAGTTGCAAATTGCTTGTCGTCATAGGTTGCAGGGAGAACAATCAATTTTCTACGTCTTCGATGCTTTCGATAGCCGCAGTGCTGGTGGAGACGCTCATCTCTATGAACTCAACATTGACTACGGAACATGCACGCGTTGTACTGTTTCAGAGCAGTTGCAATTTCCTTGTCGTCATATGCAGGCAGTAGCTGTTTGGCGATCTAAGCAGAAGAACAGTGAACTTCCAACCTATGACATCAAATGATACTTCCACCATGCGTACACAGTTTCGAAATACTGGGAGGCGGTAGAGAAAATTACGATCCGGCTTCCTCTTTATGATGATCTCAAACAGACACACCAAATCAAACCTCCACCCCTGTATCACCAAGCTGGGGGTTCAATCAAGCGATCGAAAGAAGTCGCAGAGCTCTCAACATGACTCGAAAGAACACAGAACCGTGGTGAATGTGCAGGTTCTTTTATTCCGACTATGCGTACACATTTAAATTAAGAGCTGCCTTCGGATGCTGACTGCCATGGCGAGAGTAAGGCAATATCATAGTTTTTCAGCGCAGGTGAAGGGAGCTAGCGCGCTCAAACGGGAACCGTACCCATGCAGCCGTTGCAACCAGACTGGCCACAACGCTCAAAGATGCACGACACCGCTAGCAGAAGGAGAATAAGTGAGTGTAGGAATTGTACCAGGCATGTACGTCGCTGGTGAATGCCCTTTTACTGCCTGCGAAAACGAGCTGAGTACGAGAAAGAGAGCATAAACTAAGCTGAAGATAGTAGATAATCCTTAATGCATAATAAGAATATTATCTCACTGTTGAAGCAGTAGGTAGTGATTCTGCTAATGATAAGAAAGGTTGAGGATCAATGAGCTCAGATCATCATAACATTTTTCGAATTACAATACTGACCATAATTACGCGACCCGAGTGACCTTCAAGATCAGCCCAATCGCTTCATCATGAGCACATCTCTGGGGTAGGGAGCAAATAATTTGTGGTTAGTATTTGTTAATGATCAAGAATAGTAAATTCTAGTGCGCGGAATTGTACAGAGATGTCAGTGATAGGTAATTGAGACAAATATATAGCGAAATTGTTGGAAAACATTCGTGTGCGAGTGAGTTTAGAACTCAATTGGGATAAGCTCACCATGCCTATGCTCTGCTCGACTACGTAGCCAGCACTTTCATCGTTTACATACACTGCATCATCACAACAATTGAACAAGCGTCATCATCGAAAATGTCAGCAATATTCACTAAATAGACAATACCTGCACTCTTGCATTGACCGAGTAGCAGGTACTAAGCGCGTCTTGACCGGATAAACGCCTGTTACCACAAAAGCAATCGACGCCGTCAGAACATGCAAATTATAATCTGTCTACGCGTGACAACCTCCAAGATCTCACTTCTATCTCCCCAGCAGAAGCTACCGTCGTGTGCTCTACCAAAAGAGTCGGGGCGCGCTTGTGGCAGGGCACGCGTCGGTGTTTGCTAGGTGCATAGCTTATTGGTTCTGCAAACTAGAAAGTGAGTTATTTATTTTAGACAATCACTGCGTTTGTATCTGCTTTTGTTAAATTGCTCGCTCGTTGTATCATTCCCCGCTTGATAAATATTCGCCAGCGCCGTGGTTGATGATAAACTGGACCGCGGCGCTATGGCCTATCCACACGGCAAAATGCAGAGCTGTGCATCACTTATAGGTATTTCAAAGTCGGAGAAGTGTACATGTATCTGTTAGTTGAGTCACGATAGTATCATACTTGAGGCCGATGGAGTCGAGCATTGAACAAATGCGGATTGATGGCCAGCAGATTGTGGCATGTGGTTACGTCCCCAGAGTCGGCTGCGCCCATCCACTGCTGTTCGACGTCAGCATATGCAGATGGACGAGCTGACATGGTGCTTGTTGTGGTGTTGGAAATCCCACGTGAACTCTAGCTACAGATGTAGTTAGGATATTCCCACAACAATACGTCTACTAGGATAGTAAACGATCGTTCGGGCGGACCTGAAGACCCCAGTTCTGCCCTTGCACCGGGACAAACTGGACCTTGTAAACTACTTATATAGGCCAACCAGTAAAATAAGAACACGCTACTAGCACGAGCAAAGCTAGCAGGTGTTTTGAATCCTCGTGGTCCCAACAGCGGAAGGGTACCAGGCACGGGTAAGCCTTTTACGAGATCACCGAGTGTTCAACACTCGGCTGGAAGAAATAAAAGGGAGGCAATTCAAGCACTCCCAGTCGTGCAAATAGGCAACAATAAGCCGTCACGTAAAACCTCCCGATAATAATCGGCCAATACACAAAGTCTCTTGGCCTTGCCGGATGAACCCTCGCTACAGAGCTTCGAGTTCACCGACAGGCATAACACACTCAAACAAGCTTG